GAAATCCCCAAAATCCCAGAAATTCCCTAAAATCGCCAAAATCCCCAAAACCCCTGAAATTCCCGAAATCCCCAAAATTCCCGAAATCCCCAAAATTCCCTGTCGTGTCCCTGCAGCTGCGGTGCCTGAGACGGAGCCCACGGAGCCGGGACCCCTCGGTGAGTGCTGACCCCACTCCTGATCCCACAGGGGTCACCCGCCCTTTACCCTGTGGGGTGGGGGTGATTGGGGCGGGGGGAGGCTTTGGGGCCGGGGGTACCCCGGAAATGGCTGGAATTGCCGGGAATTGCCTGAAATTGCCCAGGATTGCCGGGAATTGGCCAGAATGGGCCAGGAATTGCCTGGAAATGCCCAGAATTGCCTGAACTTGCCCAGAAATGCCCAAAATTGCCTGAAATTGCCCAGAATTGCCGGGAATTGCCCAGAAATGCTGGGAATTGGCCAAATGTCCAGAATTGCATGGAACTGTCTGGAGTTACCCGGAATTGCCCGGAATTTCCCGGAAATGCCCAGAATTGGCCAGAATTGCTGAGAATTGGCCCGAGTTGCCCAGAATTGCCGGGAACTGGCTAGGACTACCTGGAAATGGTGGGAATTGGCCGCAGCTCCCTGAAATTGCCCCAAATTGTCCCTGCAGACTGCCGGGAGGAGCAGTACCCCTGCACCCGGCTCTACTCGGTGCACAAGCCCTGCAAGCAATGCCTGAACGAGATCTGCTTCTACAGGTGGGTGTGGGGCCAGGAGGGCACCCCCGCCTTTCCCGGGCTGTCGGGGACCCCTCGGCTTCACCGGCCCCTCCTTTCTGTCCCCAAAATTGCAGCCTCCGCCGGGTTTATGTCATCAACAAGGAGATCTGCGTCCGCACCGTGTGCGCCCATGAGGAGCTGCTGCGAGGTGAGAGGGGCGCGCTCCCCAAAAACTGGGATCGCCTCTTTGCCCGTGGTTTTGGGGTGGGGAAATCCCGCAGGATTGAACCAAACTGCTGCAGCCCCCACGGGAAAAAGTGGGATTGTGTTTTGGGGTGGGAAAATCCTGCAGGATYGAATCGGGCTGYTCCAGCTGCCATGGAGCAAAGAGGGATCCTATTTTGGGGTGGGAAAATGCCTCTGGATGGATCTGAGCTGCTCCAGCGACCCCGGAGCAAAGCGGGATCCGGTTTTGGGGTGGGAAAATCCTGC